GCCGGGGCGCCGGCGGGCAGAGGCTCCGGACCAGCCCCCGCCCCGCCGCCCGCCCGCCCCCTGCCCGCGCCTCCGGGGAGGCGAGAGCGCGGCGGGGCCGGTGACCCCCGGCTGGGGAGGGTCCGGTCCCATCTGTACCTGCCAGGAGCCATCCGGGGAGGGGCGGGGGTCACAGCGGGGCCAGCGCGGCCCCACGGCGGGGCAGCATCGCTTTCTGCCGCCGCCGTGAGCAGAACCGGTACCGCACCCGACAACGGCACCGGCACCGCGAGTCCCGGCCGGGCGATCAGCGGCCTCCGTGGGTAGCTCTGGCGTGGGCCCCGCGGGACCGAGGGCGGAGAGCCCGTCCCGGGGCTGGTACCGGGCAGCCGGTACTCCCGGAGCCGCCCCCGCCGGGCGGGCACGCGCGAGGCCGCGGATCCATCTCGCCGTTAATAATTGATGGCGGGAGCCGCCGGGGCTGCGCGGGGCTGCGGGGCCGAGGCTTTTAGCTCAGCCCTGCTCAGATATTCAGCTCCATTTCCGCGGCACGGCCGGGGCGGCTCCTTCTGGGAAGCGCTGCCGGGCGCTTTCCCGGCCGGACCCCTCGCTGGGGCTGGGGCTGGACACGCTCATGGCCGCAGTGGTGCCGGCAGCAGCGTTAGCTCCCCCCTATTCGGGTGAATAGGGACCCCCCAAGGAAGGCAGGGGACCCCCAGGGCACACAGGGGTCCCTGTTAAATCGGGCAGGGTCTCCCAGGGTGGATAGGGGTCCTCCATTAATCCCTCTGAGGTGGGTAGGGGTCCCTACAGGGCAGCGGGGGCTGGGTGCTCATGGACTGAGCTCCTGCCTAATGCACCGAGTACATCTGCAGAATCCAATTAACCTTCGATAACGAGGCCCTGAGCGACGTGGCTGTCAGCGGCCACCAGCCACCGGCACACTCTGGCCCCCCTACGGGCACCAGCCCACCAGGACGGGCAGCACTGGGGCCGGGCAGACCCCCCCAAAAGCCCCCGGCTGGTGTCGGACCCTGGGGAGGCGGGTGTGGGGTACCCTGAGGGCACCCGGCGTGGCAGAGGGGACCGGTGTGCCCAGCCATGTGTCCCGTGGCTCCTGGGCACTGCTCCCACTGACCAGAGGGGCTGGAGCTGCAACCCGAGGGGTGGGGGCTGTGTGTGCCCCCCGCTCCCACAGCCCCCCCCCGTCCCCTGCTCCACCCCTCACCCCCACCGAAAACCCGGGGGCTCTCAGCTCCCGCTCCGCTGGCTTCCTCCGCTCTGCAGCCCCCCAGGCCAGACTGTGCCCCCCCAGCCCTTCTGACCCTCCTCCCAGACCACGGATCTGGGGTCCCCAGAGGGTTTCAGGGGGGTGGCCCGTGCTACACCCCCAGTCCGGAACCGCGGTACCCACTGTCCCCCGCCCCAGGGGCTGCAGCCTGGCGGTGCCCGGGGGGAGCAGCCCCCCAGCAGCCGGGTGTTGGCGTCACCGTGCAGCCGCCCACGCACCCATGTGGCACCCGGCTCCTCCCCGAGGACGCCGCGCAGACGCCGAGGGCCACCGTGACGTCCGAGCGGGCGACTCGGCCGTCGGGTCCGCGGGAGCCATCCGCGGCCACTGTGACCCCATCCCAACCCCACGCCGGTCCCATCCTGGCTCCATCCCAACTCCATGCCATGCCCATGCCCGCCCCCATCAATCCTCATCGCAGCCCTCCCGGCGTGCCAGCCGGGCCGGGGTGGGCACCGCGCCCACCGGCTGCTGCCGCCTCACCCCGCGCACCCCGTCCGGGTGCCGGCGCCCGCGGCGGGCGGGCGGCGGGGGGCACCGGGAGTGTTTCATGCGGTTAAGAAGTGTCTGATTGAGGCAGGAGGCGCCAGCAGCTCCCCCGGGAGCCGCAAGCCAAGGACTGGAGGACCAAATGCAGGCTAAAGTAATCCAATCTGGGCTGGTTCATCTAATTAGCCCAGAATTAACCCAGCAGCCAGAGAGGAGCTGACTGTCCCTCCAGTTTGCCAGCGGGTTTGGGGGGAAGCGGGAGGAAGAAGGGGACGTCCAGCGGTAATGAGATTACGGGGGGGAGCGGGCGGGAGCGGGTGCGCGGCAGCCTCTGGCCGGTGGGAGCGTGGGGCCCTGCCAGGTCCCCACCGCGCCATCGCCGTGATGGCCGGGGCACCGGGCCGGCACCGGGGACAGGCAGGGACCCGTCCCAGCGACCCCCGCCCCGGCAGCAGCTTCGAAGCCCGCGGCATTCCCGTGGGGGACGGAAACACCGGCACGGCGGCACCGGGGACGTGGCACCGGGGACATGGCACCGCGAATGCGCGCAGCTGCACCGGCAGCCCCGAGGCCACGGGGAGGCGGGGGGACGGGGCACGGAGCCCCGGCAGCTTCGGGCAGCACCGCCGTGGTGGGGCGGGCAGGGGCCAGACCCCGTGTGTGACCCCCTGCTCCCGGGGCAGAGGGGATGGAGGGCGCGGGGCGGGGAGATGCTGGCGCAGCTCTGGCGGTGGCAGAGCCTGGTGCTGCGCTGGCTGAAGGCTGATTCCCTGCTGGAACTGGGAAAATGCCCTCTTTAATGCCACATCCCATTCAGCTGTCACTGCCACCCACGAGAACCACCAGGCCCAGCCCCTTGGGGTGGGAGGGGGCACCCACCGAGGACACCGAGGTCTTTGCTGGGGCCGAGAAACGAGGAAGGGTCTGCACTGGCCCACTGGGGGGTTCCGGGTGCAGGGACCCTGCCTGGTCCCCACGGTGGCTCAGGGGACCCTGGAGCAGGCACAGGGACACGGCCTCCTTCCAGGTGGCCCAAAGGTCACTGGGAAGACAGAGCCAGCGGCACAAGGTGGTGACACCTTGGCTAGTGGGGTCCCTGGGAGGGAAACACCCCACACCCACAACCAGGCTGGGAAGGGGCTCAGGACTCCTCGAGCACCTTCAGTTCTTCCCCTCCCTCCCAGGGCAGCCCTGGCCGTGCTGCTGAAGGGTGCCGGGCAGGGGGGGCTGCTCTGGCCGGGGGTGCCTCTCGCAGACCCCCGTGGGCATGGGGCGGGCCCTGGCGCAAGCAGGCGCCGGGAGAGCCCGCACTGCCCCGGGCCCCGTCACAGCCCCTCAATCCATCTCCCAGCCCGGCAGATTCCAGCCCCTGGGCACGGCAACATCTGCCTCCTGCTCCGGGTTCAATTAACCTGCTGCCGCCTCCTCCTCCGGCACCGGCCATTTCCTCCCAGTGCCACTGTCACCGCTGTCACTGCCACTGCCGCCGCCATGGCTGCGCCCCAGCGGGTCACAGCGGGTCCCTTTGCCGCAGCACACCCGGAGCAAGGTGGAAAAGCCACAGTGGGAACGCTGGGATTTGTCCCGGCACCTGCCGGGCTGCGAGCAGGAAAGGCCAGAAAGCCGTGGCGCCTGCAGGGGAGGGTCCCGCTGCTGTGTCCCCCTCCCCTTTTTGGGCACACGAGGCTCCGTCGGTGCGCCTGGTGTGGAAGGAGCAGCTCGGCCCGGTGCCGGGGTGGGCTGTGGGCATGGCCGAGGGTGGCACAGGGCGTGTGCCCGTGCAGCCCCGGTTCCCGCGGCCGCACACCCGGCTGAGCTGCGGCTGCAGGAACGGGCGCCCCACACTGCGGCGAGCCTGGGACCACCCGGTGCCCCCCGGTGCCTGCGATGCCCCGGGGTGTGCAGTGCCCCCGGTGCGGCAGCTGCAGCCCCCGGTGCCGCCGTGATTTACAGGCGCAGGCCCCGGTAATGTCATTTGCCCCAGACCGGTGGCGCCAGCGTGCCCGGGAAGCCGCCTCCGCCCCTCCAGCCCCTGTCCCGGGGCCGTGACCCGCCCGGGAGCCGCCGGGAACCCACCCGCGGGGCCGCCGCCACGCTGTCGCGATAGTCGTCGGAAGACCCGGCAGTGCCGCTCTCCGCCGCCGTTACCGCCCGCCGACGGGGCCGGGCTGGGCTCTGTGACCGAGAAAGGCGGGCGGGGAACAGGGGTCCATCCCAGGGAACGGCGGGTCGGGAAGCGGGGTCTGTCCCCGGGAATGGCGGGGACAGGGGTGTCGGACTCCATCGCCCTGAACAGTCTGCTCCGTGGAAAATGGGGTCCGTGATACCGGGAACGGCAGGTCCCGGGGAAGGGGGATTCATGGGCCGGGAACTGAAGGTCGGCGTGGGCTCGGTGCCCCGGGAAAGGCGGTTTCCCGGGAACTGAGATCCCAGGTACCGGCAACGGCGGCTCGAGGAGATTGGGATCCGTGTCCCGGGACGTGTCCGTGTTCTGGGAACGGCGGGTCCGAACAACCCCTGGGTCCCCGCACCGGGCGCGTTGGCTCCGGGGCCGCCAGATCCATTCGCTCCCGTACGGACGGGCTCGGTGCGAAGCCTGCGCACCGCAGGCACCGGTCCGTGCGCCCGCGATAACGGCGGGACAGCGGCCGCTTCGTGCGCCCCGGGAGGGGCGGCGGGAAGCGCCGACGGGGCTGCGGACGGAGCGGGGACGCCAAAAGGCACCGCGCTGCTGCCCGGTGCGACAGCGGCTCCGGTGGACCGGGTAGGCGGCCCGACGGACGCCCCGGCGGGGCGAACGGGTGCGGAGCCCGTCGGTGCACGGAAGGCGCTCGGGACCCGACGGGCCCGTCCGCTTGTCCCGTAGCCGGGGCGGGGGGGGTCCCGGAGCGGGGGCGGGGCCCCGGGCTGTCAATCACGGGGCGCGGCCGCCAATCAGGGCGCAGGCGGTGGGAGTTCGGCCGGTCCGGATGGAGCGGGGCAGAAAAGCGCGTCCCGCCGGGGCCCGCAGCCCACCCGCGCTCCCGCCCCGGGGCTGCCAGAGGCTGCGAGCCATGCCCCGCACCCTGCCCCGGGCCCGCACCCGCACCCGGCACCTGCCCCGCACCTTGCTCCGGGCCCGCAGCCGCACCTTGCACCGCGTCCTGCCCTGCACCGGCCGCTCCGTGCCCGTCGCCGCCGCCGCCGCCCCCCGCCGCCCCCCGGCCATGCCCGCGCCCCGCCGGCTCTGAGCGCGGCCGGGATGGAGCGGGAGGGCGGCGGCCCGGGGCCCCCCGCGCCCCACGAGCCCATCAGCTTCGGCATCGACCAGATCCTGGGCGGCCCCGAGCCCACGGGGCCGCACCGGGCGGCGGCTGAGCCCGACTACGGGCTCTACGGCAGCGGCTACGGCCCCACCGGTCCGCTCGGCTCCTACAATCTCAACATGAGCATGAACGTGAGCGTGAACGTGACCCCCGCGCCCGCCGCGCCGCCCGAACAGCCTCACGGGGCTCACCTTCCCCTGGATGGAGACCACCCGCCGCATCGCCAAAGACCGGCTCTCAGGTGAGCGGGCGGGACGGCTACCGGCGGCTACCGGCGGCTATGGACGGCTCCGGGGACTCACGCGGCACCGGCCGCTCCCGCCGTTCCGTCGGGGCAGCGCGGTCCGGCGGGCGCGGCGCGGGTCGGGGCGGACACGGGGCTCGGACGGGGATGGCGGGGACCGTGCGCTCCACAGGTTCCCGCAGCGCCCGGTGCTCGCCCGCCGCCGTCGGGGCCCGCGGAAGAGGCTCGGGGTAGACGCGGCTACCGGCGGCTCCACCGCGGCACCGGGCAGGGTCCGGTGGCTCCGGGTGGAGCCCGGGGGGTCTCAGCGGGCTCCGGTGTCGAGCTGTACTCTGTGTTTGGTCCCTTCCCCGGTTTGGAGGTGCCGGTGGCGACCCTGTGCCGCCGTAACCGGGAGGCTGTGGGGAGCCGGGGTGTGGGGTGGGTGCAGAGAGGGGGCTCCGAGAGTGGGGTGGGGGCTCTGCGGGGTGCGAGATGTGATGTGGGGGCTCTGTGGGGACACGGTGCAAGGTGGGGGACCCACCGTGGGACTGAGCACAAAGGCCATCCGTGCACAGAGCAGATGTCCCATGCCTTGTGACCCCGGAGAATGGGGGCGGTGGTGCAGGGGGACCTGTGGGGCTTCTGGGGATGGGATCCCGGATCTGAACGTGCAGGGGCCGGTGTGGAACACTGAGTGCCAGTGCTGTGGGAGAGGCCAGGGCGGCGACGCGGGCGTTGGGGAGGCAGCGAGGGGTTGAGATACCGCTGCTGGGGGCCGTGGTGGGGGCTGAGCAGCAGTGCTGGGCTGGGGGTGCTGGTTGCTGCACCCGAGGAGCAGGAGGGGCGCTGAGCTTGGGGTCCCGGGCGCTGGGAGCGTGTGTGGGTGCCGGGGACCCCCGGCCTGGCTGAGCTCTGCTCCCACCCAAGATGGCGGCACTGCCACGTCCACAGTGTGTGGCCGCGTGCGGGGACAAGGCTGGAGGCCGTGCGGGGCTGGGGGCCGAGTCCCGGCCATGTGGGCGATGGGGCGGTGTGGGGCAGGAGGCTGGGGACTGTGGGGGTCCCACCCGGGCGCCAGCAGAACCGTGTTCGCCTCCCGGCCCAGCCCGCCATGGCAGCGGTGACGAAGCACCGTCCCCGCGCAGGGGTGGCGGGTGACGTCCTCGTCTCCTGCCTGGCGCCAGCGTTGGGTGGATGGGGCAGCCCCTCCCCGGCACGGGGTCTCCCAGCCGCAGCCATCACTCAGCACCACCGGCCTTGGGGTGGGCTGCGGGCAGGAGGCAGCTGGTCCCGGCGAGGGGCCACCCCGCGCGGGGAGGGGGCACGGGGGCCTCCGTCCCCCCCGACTGCGCGGCTCCACCTGCCTCAGCCCTGCCCGCCCCCGCCGGTGGCCAGGCGGCCTCCTGGGTACGGGTGGGAGGGTGCCAGGGGGTCCCTGGGGTGCTGTGGGCCGTACCCCACGTCCCTGTGCCGTGGGGGGCTGTGGCCCCACGGCCACCCATGATCCCGGCCATGTGCGGCCCTGCCCACGCGGCGCCGGCCCTGGCGGCGGCTGCGGTGCCATGGCGCCACGGGGACGTGGTGCCGTAGGGTCATGGCTTGGTCGAGGCTGCTGCCAGAGCAGGAGGGGCGCAGGCGTTGGGGGCTGGCCCTGCCAAGCCTTCACTTTCCCCCATGCTGCTTCGCTGCTCTGATGCTCCCTGCAGCTCTGGGGCTGGGATGTGGCATGTTGGCCTCACCAGGGCTGGGTTTGGCACGTTGGCCTCACCAGGGCTGGGTTTGGCACGTTGGCCTCACCAGGGCTGGGTTTGGTACGTTGGCCTCACCAGGCTGGGTTTGGTACCTTGGCCTCACCGGGCTGGGATGTGGCACGTTGGCCTCACCAGGCTGGGATGTGGCACGTTGGTCTCACCAGGGCTGGGTTTGGCATGTTGGCCTCACCAGGGCTGGGTTTGGCACGTTGGCCTCACCAGGGCTGGGTTTGGTACGTTGGCCTCACCAGGCTGGGTTTGGTACCTTGGCCTCACCGGGCTGGGATGTGGCACGTTGGCCTCACCGGGCTGGAATGTGTCACGGTGGCCTCACCAGGCTGGGATGTGGCACGTTGGCCTCACCAGGGCTGGGTTTGGCACGTTGGCCTCACCAGGGCTGGGTTTGGTACGTTGGCCTCACCAGGCTGGGTTTGGTACCTTGGCCTCACCGGGCTGGGATGTGGCACGTTGGCCTCACCAGGCTGGGATGTGGCACGTTGGTCTCACCAGGGCTGGGTTTGGCATGTTGGCCTCACCAGGCTGGGATGTGGCACGTTGGCCTCACCAGGGCTGGGTTTGGCACGTTGGCCTCACCAGGCTGGCTCACACCTCAGCTGGGCAGGGACATCCCCTTTCCCAGCCCCTGGCAGTGGCCAGCCTGTGTGGCACGGTGGCCTCACCAGGCTGGGATGTGGCACGTTGGTCTCACCAGGGCTGGGTTTGGCATGTTGGCCTCACCGGGCTGGGATGTGGCACGGTGGCCTCACCAGGCTGGCTCACACCTCGGCTGGGCAGGGACATCCCCTTTCCCGGCCCCTGGCAGTGGCCAGCCCAGGCACTGCTGGCCCATGGAAAGAGACACTGTCTGCCTCCCAACAGCTTCTGTGGTCCCGTCCCCTCACGGGCAGGGCTGGGCAGTCCTGGCAGTGCTGTGGAGGCTCCTCGGGGGCTGTGGCAGGGCTCGGTGGGTTTGTGCAGTCGGGCTGGATGTTCCTGCATCAGTCCTGTGACCGGGCCAGCCCATCCACCCTGGCATTCCATTGCTGACCATGCTGTGGGCTAGAAAAGGGGACGAGTCCTCCCTCATGCCACGTCTTGAGCTCCCCCCATGTCCCCAAGGTGGGGACAGCTCTGGGTGTCCCCCTCCCCTGCTCTCCCAGCCAGCACTGGTGGCTCCCCTGGCACTCCCCACCCCCATGTGCCCCCTCGGAACTCCCCACCCCCATGGCCCCGAGCCCCTGCCGTCCCCCAGGGTCCTGCTCTGCTGTGCTTTGCTGGGGTCACCCCGAGCCCCCCCTCACGCCGCTGTCCCCACAGCCGCGCTGTCGCCCTTCGCGGTGACGCGGCGCATCGGGCACCCGTACCAGAACCGGACGCCGCCCAAGCGCAAGAAGCCGCGCACGTCCTTCTCCCGCGTGCAGATCTGCGAGCTGGAGAAGCGCTTCCACCGGCAGAAATACCTGGCCTCGGCCGAGCGCGCTGCCCTGGCCAAGGCCCTCAAGATGACGGACGCCCAGGTCAAGACCTGGTTCCAGAACCGCCGCACCAAGTGGAGGTAACAGGGACGGCTCTGGGGTAGCTGCCGCAACCGTGATGCTCACACCCCTCTGGCAGACACCCCAATATCCCTCTGGCAGGTACCCCATAATCTCTGTGAGAGCCACCCCAATATATCCATCTGACAGCTGCCCCAATATATCCCTCTAGCAGCCATCCCAATATATCCCTATGAGAGCCACCCCAATATATCCCTCGGGCAGACACCCCAATATGCCTCTTACAGCCACCCCTATGTGTCCCTCTGGCAGACACCCCAATATCCCTCTTACAGCCACTCCTATGTGTCCCTCTAGCAGCCATCCCAATATATCCCTCTGACAGCCACCCCAATATATCCCTTTGGCAGACATGCCAATATCCCTCTTACAGCCACCCTTATGTATCCCTCTGGCAGAAACCCCAATATATCCCTCTAGCAGACACCCCATAAGCTCTATGAGAGCCACCCCAATATCCCTCTGGCACCCACCCCAATATCCCTCTAGCAGACACCCCATCAGCTCTATGAGAGCCACCCCAATATCCCTCTGGCAGACACCCCAATATCCCTCTGGCAGACATCCCAATATCCCTCTTACAGCCACTCCTATGTGTCCCTGTGGCAGACACCCCAATAGCCCTCTGACAGACACCCTTATGTATCCCTCAGGCAGACACCCCAATATATCCCTTTGGCAGACATGCCAATATCCCTTCTGACAGCCACCCCAATATATCCCTCTGGCAGACACCCCAATACCCCTCTGGCAGCCACCCCAGTATCCCTCTGGCACCCACCCCAATACCCCTCTGGCAGCCCCGAACCCCACATCCCTCCAGCAGCGAGCCCCGCAAGGTACCCCATAATCTCCATGAGAGCCACCCCAATATATCCATCTGAGAGCTGCCCCAATATATCCCTCTAGCAGCCATCCCAATATATCCCTATGAGGGCCACCCCAATATATCCCTCTGGCAGACACCCCAATATCCCTGTGACAGCCACCCCTATGTGTCCCTCTGGCAGACACCCCAATACCCCTCTGGCAGCCCCGAACCCCACATCCCTCCAGCAGCAAGCCCCGCATTCAGGGAGAGGCTGGCACTGGGATGAACTGGGGATGGATGGCGCGGGCTGCCCACCGCCGTGGCCTCCCCTGTGCGCGGTCCGGCGGCGTTGTGGGACGCGTCACAGGTCACAAGCAGGGGACGGGGGACAGCGGCGGTGCCAGCTGCGGCCGGTGCCAAGCCTGGGTGGGTGTCTGCAGGCGCCAGACGGCGGAGGAGCGCGAGGCGGAGCGGCAGCAGGCCAACCGGCTGATGCTGCACCTGCAGCAGGAGGCTTTCCAGAAGAGCCTGGCGCAGCCGCTGCCGCAGGACCCGCTCTGCATGCACAACTCCTCGCTCTACGCCCTGCAGAACCTCCAGCCCTGGGCCGAGGACAACAAGGTGACGTCGGTCTCCGGGGTGGCCTCTGTGGTGTGAGGGCCCTGGGTGCTGCTGATGTGCCAGGAGGTGGCACTGGGAGCCCGCTGGGCTCTGAGCCTGGACCGTGGCAGGGAAGGGGCTGCAGCTTCCTGAGAGCCCCGCACTGGCAGCCCCCTCCCTGCCATGGGGAGACCAGCCAGGAGTGAGGCCGTGCCCCTGCGGTTGGACTCAAAGCTTCACCAAACCCCACCTGGAGCCTTGCTGTGGGCAGCCCCCTGCCTGGACCCCCAGGAGCCCGGGGATGGGCCCTCATGCCCTATGGACCTCTGCAGCCCCCTGCCTGCCCCCCAGGAGCCAAGGGCTGAGCCCCTGCACCCCACAGATGTCTGCAGCCCCCTGCTCAGACCCGTGGGAGCCGAGGGCTGGGCCTCTACACCCCATGGACACCTGCAGCTCCCTGCCCGGACCCCTGGGAGCCCAGGGATGGGCCCCCACACCTGGCAGAGTTCTGCAGCTCCCCCACCAGCAGCTCCGTGGGTCACACTGGCTCCCTTTGGGCCTCACAGCCTCCAGCCCACCTGGAGCAGGGCAGGGCGTGGAGCTCCCATTCCTGGTGCTGGAAGCCCCCCACCCTGACAGCGGGGTCTGCACCACCCGCACCACTTGCCTTATCCCGGGCGGAGTTTGCCACCTCCGGCTTCCATCTGTGCAGAAGGAGTTGGCCACCCCGGCCTCACCCCGTGGTGGGACAGACGGACGGTCTGGGCCCCCCGCTCCCCACACCCTGGTCTGTCAGCTCCCTGGGCCTGGACATGCCCGTGCAGCCCCCCGCCATGGGCTCGGGGTGCCCCCCATGCTGATGGATTCTGCCTGACTCCCCCCGGGAGTCACCTCCCACAGACTGAGCCTCGGCGTGACCCACAGGACCCTCGTGGGGTGCAGAGGGGCTGAATCCCCCCTTCTTCTGGCAAATCTCTGCACCCCCTCCCCAGTGAACCCCCCTAAGTGGGGGTTCCCCCCTCCAGGACCATCCAGCCCGACTCCAGCCTCTGATGATGATGATAGAGGGGATGAAGGGTGTGGTGGGGGGGTAACAACGGTGACCTTGACCCTGAACTCGACCTTGCCCCCCACCCCGCCGCTACCCGCGATGCTGCAGCCCCTCACCCCACTTTTGGGGGACAGGCTTCTGCGGGCTCCCCCTCTCCGTTGCTATCGGGAGGAGTCGGACAGCCGGTACCGGCGGGATTGGCTGCGGTTCCGTGACGCGGAGGGGTGGAACGGCATTACCACCGGGATGAGCGCGGCCGAGGGCCGGCCCCGGTGCCGGTGGGGCGGCGGGGGCGGCGGCGAGGCGGTGCTCCGTGCCCGTGCTGAGGCCGCCGGTTACCGGAGGCTGCTGCGAGCCCGAGCCGCCGAGGTGGAGGCGTTGCGGGGGGCGGTGGGCGCGTTACACCGGCAGCTGGAGGGGCTGCGGGACCGGCGGAGCGGGGAGCTGGCCAAGTACCAGGTGCGGNTGGGGGGCCCCGGGAGGCAGCGGGGGCGGGATGGGGGAGTTCAGGTGGGACTGGGAGCTGGGGTTTGTGTGGGTCGGGCCACCGGGGGTCCCTGTGCGTGGGTGTCGCTGCGGGGTTGGGGATCCCGTGGGTCCGTGTGGGGTGGGGGTTTAGGACTCCGTGTGGGGCGGGGGTCTGCCCGGGGATCCGTGCGGGTGGGGGTCCCTGCGGATCGGGGGTCACTGTGTGCGGGGGCCCGGCCGGGGATCCCGGGGGTCGCCCCGCTGCCCCGGCGCTGCTGACGGCCCGGCTCAGGAGCGGGTGGCGGAGCTGGAGCGGGAGATCGGGGCGGCGGAGGCGGAGATGGCCCGGTGCCTGCGGGAGTACCCGGCACTGCTGCGGCTGCGGATGGCGCTGGAGGCGGAGATCGCCGCGTACCGGTACGCGAGGGGGGCGCGGGGGGCACGGGGGGCCAGGGGCTTAGCCCGGCCCTTCTTTTCCAGGGAGATGCTGGAGAGCGAGGAGCTCCGCCTGGGCGGCTTGGCCCCGCCGTGAGCGGACCCCCGGAGCCCCGCTCCCACCACCGGAGCCCGGCCCTGCCGTTACCACCGGACCCACGGTCCCGGGACCGGATCCTCAGCCCCACCACTGGACCCCGGTTCCTCCGCCGGACCCCAGACCCCCGAGTCCCGCACGCCGGGCTACTGTTCCCCGGGACCCTCTGGACCTCTCTGGACTCACGGAGCCCCGGTCCTTCTGTCCCCCCGTTCCACGGGTCCCCCGGAGCTGTGCGTGCCCGCCTGGCCCGGGACCCCCGGGAGGGCAGCGCCCGTGGGGCACACACTCACCAGCCTCTCCGGGGTGGGGGTCCCGGCCCAGACCCGTGTGGAAGCACCTCAATAAAGCCCCGTGGCATCACCCGGAGCCGGCCCGGCTGCAGGGGGGTGGGCAGAACCCCCGGCTGTGCTCCGGGGGTCTGTGGTGGGGTGGGGGGCTCCGTGGGGAGTGGGCTTGGGGAGGGCTGTGGGTGTGGGTTCCCTCCTGCCTGGCGCAGCCCCTCACTCCGAGCTGGGCACGGCATGGGGACACTGAGGGGGCTCATTGTGGGGCCACAGCTTCGGTAGAAACTGAGCCCCCCAGTGTGACGGGTGGTCCCTGCCCCCCTCCCCCCCCCAGCGGCACTTTGGGGTCAGGGTGGGATCCTGCTCCCCGGGATGTGGGGCGGGTGCTGCTCCTGGGTCTGGGGGCGTTGTCCCACCGCAGTCCCCAGAAAGGGAGCAGAGCTGGGAGGGGTTTTGAGGGCTGGGGGCGTTCAGGGAAGCCGCGTGTAGCTGGGCAGGGCTGTGGGGACCCTCCACCCCGGCTGTCCCCGGGCTGGGCTGGAGCACGGGTGGAGCCTGTCCCAGCCATGGACAGCAGATGGACGCCAGGGCTGAGTTCTGTGCCGGCCGGGAGCCCCTCGGGGAGCTGTGGGGGCCCAGCACCTCCCTTCCCACAGACACCGAGCAGGTTTTGTGGTGGCAAAGCCAATCCCGGAGTTTTAATAGAGGGGAAAATCCTTTTCCGAGCTGTAAAGGGATGGGGGTTCTGGGGAAAGGAGGTGCCCGTTTGTGGGGTCAAAGCCGCTGTTATTGGGGTGCATCGAGGTCCATCCAGGCGCTCCAGGGGCTCCAGGCCGGGGGGGTGTAGGGGTCCCGGCAGCTGATTCGCACCCGCCCTGCTCCCGCCGGCACCGGCGCCTCCTCCGCACCCTCCACGAACTGCTCCACCTGCAAAGGGGGCAGGGCATGGTCTCGGGAGACCCTCGGGGAGGGGGGCACCAGCACCCCCTGACCCCGGCAGCGCTGGGAGGAGCAGGGGTGACATCCAGGGGTGACAATTCATCACCCCAAGAAGGGAAGCAGCAGAGTGAGGAGGGGCCATGGCTGAGCATCTTCCCAGGCACAGGGCGGAGGCAGGGATGGGGCAGGGTGGGCACAGGGCAGGGTAGGGACATGGGGCAGCCTGTGCAGGGTCCCCCTGGGCAGAGACCCCCCCCTCCCGTTACCTGGGTGCCGTTGTGGAGCTCGTACTGTAGATGGTAGAGCAGTGCAAAGTAGGACTTGGGGAGCGGCCAGGAGGCCGGGGGGGCCCAGGCCAGGTGGAGCTGCTCCCCCCGCTGCTGCAGGATCAGCTCCTGGGGCGGATCTGGACGCACTGTGGACAGAGGGGGCTCAGAACAGGGGCTGAGACCCTCCCCCCGGAGCCTGCAGCGCCTCTTGGACCCCGCCGCTCCTGCCCTGAGCTCACCAATGTCGCGCAGGAAGAAGTGCCTGGACAGGTTGAGGTGGGAGGTGTCCGAGAGCCCCTCCAGGTGCAGCTGCAGCGGGCGCAGCTCCTCTCCGAAGGGGCAGAACAGGGGGTCTGCCAGGCTGGTGTTGAAGCGGCCGTGCTCACCGGCCACCGGCACCCAGGGCCCCACGGAGCCGTCGCTGCGGGGAGGGAGGCGTGGGCAGCTCTCAGGGCGGGATGCCCCCGGTGCTGCCGTGAGTTTGGGGGGTCCCGGGGCACCCACCTGCGTACGAGGCGGGCACGGAAGACGGCAGAGGGGGGCCCGGGCCAGGAGCAGTGGAAGGAGCCGTTGTAGGACTCAGCCTGGCAGGACACGTTGATCTCCTCATCACCTGAGGGGTTGAGGGGTGGCTGCTCAGGGGCTGCAGAAAGCCAAGACGGCCCCCCTCCCTGCAAGGGGCTCACAGCCCCCCTGTCCCAGGCTGGGCAGGAGAATCTCCCGGTGCTCAGCCCTCCACCCCCTGCCCCATCACCCCCCCCAGCCATGCCCCTCCGTACGGGAGCTGCCGAGCACCACGTAGGTGGAGTCCAGCAGGACAGGGCCGGCCCAGCAGCTGTAGTTGCCAGTGGCTGGCAGGTCCAAGCCGAGGATGGTGAGCGTGTGGCCCTCAGGCACCAGCTCGGCCATGGGCTCCTCCTCCCCGTTCAGCGTCCAGTAGATGTGCTGCTCTGAAGTGTCACATCGCACCACCACGTCCTGGCTGAGCTTCCCCACCTGGACTGGAGGTGAGAGCAGAGCCCAGTGGTCAGAGATGGGCTGTGGTGGGGGAAGATTGTCCCCCAAACCTCACAACCACCCTGTCCCACGGTGCTCACCCTGCTCCTGCACTCCACATCCTCCCCTCTCCCTCACCCCATCCCTGCTCCACATCACCCTCGTGCCCATCCTCTGGCTCCCAGCAGAGCTGTCCCAGCCCCTATCAGAGGGATGTGGGTTTGGGATGTTCCCCGCTCTCTCTGCTTCCTCTGCAGTCCCTGCAGCTGCCCCAGCCAGGTCCCCCCTCCGAGGCCTCCCCTGTGCCCCGGGAGCAGCACTCACACTTTGGGGGGAAGGCAGCCAGGGGTTCTGCAGGCACCACCAACAGCACCAGTGCCACCAGCACCAGCATCTGGGAAGGGAAAGGACAGGGAAGGGCAGCCATAACCCGGGAGAGGGGCACAGCCAGCAGGGCCAGCCAGGGCAGAGCCCTGGGAGCAGCATCCCCGGAGCAGGATCCCCCCGAGACCCCCCATCCGTGCCTACCTCTGCGTGTGTCTCTGGTGGGCTCGGCAGAGCCGGGGGCTGCGCTCTTATACTGGGCTGGACTCCATGGGGCTGCCCCAAGGTGCAGTCAGAGCAGCATCACAGTTCTCAGAACTGGAGGATGGGACCCACGCTCAGCCCCCTGCCTCCCACCCACACCACAGCTGGTACTTCCCAGGGCAGGGGGCACTGGACACCCCTGCCCTGCCCTGTCCCTGAATGCCAGAGGATGGGTCCCCCTGGGAACACCCAGGCAGTGCTGGGCACCTGGGATGCTGTTGGGGTTTTGGGTGGTCTCAGCTCTCTCAGAGGGGTCCCGAGCCACTGAGGGTCTGCACATCACTGTGTGCTGCACAGAACCCCCACAGTGCCCTGCTAAGGGGTGGGGGGACCTGTGAGGTCTGTCAGCACCTGTGCTGGGGGTCTGGAGAGGGGCAGCTCAGGGCTGGGCCCCTCTGGGTGGGTCAAGGAGAGGGGAGGGTTTCCACAGAGGCTCAGGGTGGTGCCCCCAGGTTGGCACACCCCTTCCCTCCCCTCCTCGGGCCACTGAGTGTCCCATGGGATGCTGTGCAGAGATGAGGACGTAGGGACAGAGATCATCACTGTCACCAGCTGCCCCTTTGGCACCCCACTGCCCGTGTTGAGGGCATGCAGCAGACCCCACCCTCCAGCTGCCCCTTTGGCACCCCACTGATGCCAGCCCGTGTCGAGGGCATGCAGCAGACCCCACCCGGGGGAGGGGAGCGCTGTACTCTTTCACGTACTTTCTGGAGTTCCTAGAAAGCAAAGGGGAAGTGGGGCTGTGGGGGAGCCCAGCTCTCACCTTTTGAGGCACTGTGGCCAGGACAGGGCAGTGGGACCTCCAAGACCCCTCCCTGAGCAGAGCCAAGCCCTTGTGTGTGGGCTGAGGGGTGGGGATGGGGAGCCAGGACTCCCAGGCCCCATGCAGCACCTCAGCTCTTGGCTGTAGCACTGCAGGGGACCCCAAAAGGACAGGGAGGGAGGAATGGGACGCCTTGCCCGGGGGTGCCCCCGTGCCCTGCCCTGTCTGGGGGAAGCAGGCGTTGGCAGCAGGTTTGGGGGCCCGCTCGCCCCCACCTCACCAACCGCAGCTTCCCCTTGGCTTCTGCAGAACAACCACAACCACGGAGGGGAAGTCCTGATGCAAAGGCCAGGGATGCCCTCAGAGCCTCAGCATGGCTGGAACCCCAGCCTGGCACACCGAAAAATGGGTGGGAGGGGAGTGAGGCCTCACAGACAGCAACCATCCCTGGGAGACGGGAGGAGCAGGGACAGAGCCCACCCTGGCCAGACCCCTGTGTGGTGACGTCCTTGGGCAGGATGGACCCACCCTGGCCAGACCCCTGTGTGGTGATGTCCCTGAGCAGGATGGACCCATCCTGGCCAGACCCCTGTGTGGTGATGTTCCTCAGTGGGATGGACCCCACCCTGGCCGGACCCCTCTGTAGTGATATTCCTCAGTGGGATGGACCCCACCCTGGGGCCAGATCCCCTCACTGCAGTCATGGACACGAAGCCAGGAGCAAAGGTCACAAAACTTTATAGAGGAGGAGGGACCCGTGCGTGGCCCCTCGGCCCCGGGCGCTGGGGGAGCGGGACAAGTGATGCCTCCAGCCCCACATCACCCCCGGGAAAAACGGGGTGAAGGAGCCCAGTGGGGAGGGCCCACAACACTCCCCCGGCCGGGGCCAGCGCTCCCCAATCCACGCTCTGAGGTGCCGGGGTGGTCCCACGGCCGCTGGCCCACGACTGACGGCGGCGCAGCGCTGAGGCAGTGCCAGGCCGTGCCCGCGCCTCCCTGGGACCCGGGACAGCCCCTGCAGCCACACAGCTCCCCTGGGGCCTCCCCGGGGCTCCCCTGTCCCCAGGGTCACGGCCAAGCCCAGGCAGCCCCACCGCGGGGCTCCGCTGCTCCGGCTCACTGCAGGACGCAGACGTCCCCGTGCTCATCCTCGCGTCCGGCCGCCTCCGCCAGCTCCGGCTCTGCCGGCGCCTCCTCTGCTGCCACCACCTTCTCCCGCAGCTCCATCAGCAGGTCCCGGCCCTCGCTGGGCGGCAGGTTGCTCAGGTAGTACTGCGGGGCCAGCTCCACCAGCCTGCGAGGACAGG